CCAAGAGTTATCTAAATATCAAATTTCAGAAATTTGTATTAATCTCTTCACCCAGTACCAAATATGTATAGTACTTTTCGTACAATTTTAGTACAGATTTCCAAAACCGCCTCCATATCACAATACCGGATAACAACATTGATCTTGATATCAAATTTCGGAAATCCAGTTCTTTTCGTACAAATATTGGACGCATTTTCAACGCCGCCTCCATAAATGCATTCCAGATATCAAATTTAAGGATTCCAGCCCTATCCCATTACCCAATGCTAAATCTAGTACAATTTGGCAAGTATTTCCAAACTATCTCCAAATCTCATCCTCATCTCTATCCCTTCAACTAATACCAAACATAGTACTAATCTGTACCTTTCGTCCAATTGAAGTAACCATTTCTAAAACCTCGTCTATCTCAATCCCAGATACCAAGAGAAACCTCAATATCAAATTTGAGGATTCCAGCCATATCCCTTGACCCAATGCCAAATTTAGTACCATTTTGGTACTTTTCGTACAAATATTGGGCGCATTTCCAAATCTGAACATCCAAATCTGAACATCAGATACCAACACGTGTCTAAATATTAAATTTCAGGAATTTATCGCCATCCCTTTAACCAATACCAAATATAGTACCATTCAGCACTTTTCGAGCACTTGAAGTACCCATTTCTAAAACCACATCTAGCTCTCAGATACCAACAGAGACCTTGATATCAAATTTGAAGATGTCATCCCTATCCTTTCGCCCAATGCCAAATTAAGTACCATTTAGTACTTTTTGTACAAATATAGGACGCATTGCCATACTGTCCCCAAATCTCAACCTCTGACACCAATGAGATATTTAGTAATTTTCGTACAAATAGAGGACGCATTTCCAAATCTCAACCTTAGATACCAATGCGCGTCAAAATATTAAATTTCAGGAATTTATCCCCATCCCTTTAAATAATACCAAATATAGTACCATTCAGTACTTTTCGACCACTTGAAGTGCCCATTTCCAAAACCACATATATACCTCAATATCAGATCCCAACAGAAACCTTGATATCAAATTTGAGGATTCCAGTACTGTCCCATCAACCAATACCAAGTTTAGTACCATTTAGTACATTTCGTACAAATATGTGACGCAATGGAAAACCACCACCAAATCTAAACCTCTGATACCAAAACTTATCTAAATATAATACGATCTCGTCACTTGGGTAAAAAATGCTTTTTGTCATAGAAGTTATTTTTAAAATAACTTCTGGGGAGAATATCCCAGACAAAAAACAAGGGAGCTGATGAGGATTGGTGGCTCTTTCCGAAACCTAGGTATTCCCTGCCTTACCCCCTGGTAAACATTACCATCGTTCTCCACTAATAAACAAACGTTGTTTTTATAAAAACAACAAAAAAGGGATAAAGCCTGACCATTTTGCAACAACTAAATATAAAATTTCAGATTTTTATCCCTATCCCTTCCACCAATTCCAAATATAATACCATTCTGTATTTTTCGTACAATTAGGGTACACATTTCCGAAACTACTTCCATATGTCCAGGCTACACATGAACAGCGACCGCAAGACCAAATTTCAGTTTTAAAGCACAATCTACTCACCCAATACCAAATTGTATCAAATATAGTACTATTCAGTACAGTTCGCCCACTTAGTATACATTTTCAAAACCACCGTCATCATATATCACAATTACTTTCCAACATCGCACCAAGCACGCTCCACCCAAGAATGGTTACAAAATGAGGTTCCTCGCTTCATTTCCAGCGTACAATGGCCACCAAAAACTCCGAATACCAATCCGTGTCTGGAATATTTTAAAAAGCAAGGTTGACACTAAAAAATACCAAAGTGTCGATCACCTCAAGCAAGCGCTTCGTCGGGAATGGGCCAAAATACCGCAGAGCAACATTTGGGCAGCATGTGACGTTTTCATTGGCGGTTTGAAGGCCATAACTCATGTCAAAGGTGACCAATGCGAACAAATCTAAACTTATTACGAAATTTGTACTATTTCCGACATTTTGAGCTTTCATCAATGAAATTTAACAAGTTAAAAAGCAGTAAGTTCAGCCGGGCCGAACTTTGAATACCCTCCACCATTTGGAATGAATTTGGAAATTTTCAAAAAATAAAAAATATAAAAAAATACCGAATATAGCCGTTATATTGGGGTCTACATAGGCATTGTTTGTCATAAGGCATTACCATATTCAAATTCGAAATTTGAAATAAACGGTGAATAATTATGTAGCTAAAGTCATCAAAATACCGTATATAGGGAGGTATCGTTATACGAAGACCTGGAGCTGAAGAGACAATTTTCTGTCATAGGCTGTAGCATCTATTACGATCTTCAAATACGACATCTCAAACAATTTCGTTGAGAATTGTACCTAAAATCGTCAAAATAGCGAATATAGGGAGGTGCTGACATATGGGACCTGTAAAAAGACCTGTACCAGCATAGACAATTTTCTGTCATAGCATTCATTCCGAAGGTTAAACACGACATATCAAAAAATTTCGGTGGGTATTTTACCTAAACACGTCAAAATATCGAATTTAAGGAGGTACTGATATATGGGGCCTACACGAAGACGTGAACCTGCATAGAAAATTTTCTGTCACAGACTGTAGATCCCATTACGAATTCTAAAAACGTAATTTGAAACAATTCCGATAAATAATGTCGCTAAAATCACAAAAATACAGAATATTGGAAGGTACCGTTATATGGGGGCTATAGGAAGACGTGGACCTGCACAGACAATTTTCTGTCATTCATTACGAACTTCAAATACCAAATTTTAAACAATTCCGGTAAATAATATCGCTAAAATCATCAAAATACCGAATATCGGGAGGTACCGTTATATGGAGCTATATGAAAACGTGGACCTACATGTCCCATTTACGAATTCAAACTGCCTACTGGAAAAATAAACATTTGTGCAAAATTTTAGCCGTCTATCTCAATTTGTTGGACAGATAGCGAGATTACAACAGGTAGACAGACGACAGACATGCAGACGGATATCCCTAAATCGACTTAGAATTTTACTCTGATCAAGAATATATATGTTGGGTCTGACATAAGTATTTCGAGGAGTTACAAATGGAATGACAAAGTTGATATACCCTCCATAGTATGGTGGAGGGACAGATAGATTATAGCGTTTGGCTTTGTTGCAGATTTTTTTATACCACCCAATATATGACACCTTTGGACCAAGAGTGACCCTCACCCAAAATTTAAGATTTTAGCTTCAGGCATTTCGTCTGGACGTTGATGAATCGTTAACTCAGTCAGTCGGTCAATTACTTTACTCTCTTTTTATACCCTACACCACAAGGTGGTCAGGGTATTATGTCTTTCTGCATTTGTTTGTAACAGGCAAATGGAAACGAGATAGACCCATAGTTCCTTTTGATGATCTGCATAGAATCACATTCTGAGTCGATTTATGCATGTCCGTCCGTCCGTCTGTCCATGTATTTCTGTAAACAAAGTACAGGTCGCATTTATTGCCCGATCCAGATGAAATTTTGTACAGATCATTTGTTTGGCCCAAGGACGAACCCTATTGAAATTGGAGATAATCGGTCAAAATTTAGATATAGCTCCCATATACATCTTCGTCTGATTTGTAATATCATATTAATCTTAGGCCTGAAAATAAGTATGCCAAATTTGATCGAAATCGGTTCAGATATAGCTATAGCTCCTATATATATTGCTCACCCGATTTGTTATTTTTGTCCTCCGCAGCCGTAATATGCACACTGTAACAACAATATTTGGGGAAATATTGTTGTTACAGCTCAGAAATATATTTGCCAAGTTTTATCGAGATCGGTTGAGATTTCGATATAGCTCCCATATATATCTTCGTCAGATTTACCTTTTATTGTGCACCAGACGTCTAATATTTACCCAAATGGGATGAAATTTGGCACTTACGACCGAATTGAGTCTAGAAGCTAGTATGTCAAATTTGGTGAAGATCGGTTCAGATATAGCTATAGCTCCATTTATATAGTTCATCCGATTCGTAGTATTTGTTACCCACAACCGTAATATGCACTCCGTAACAACGATATTCAGGGAAATATATCAAGTACAGCTCAGAAATATCTTTGCCAAATTTTATCGAGATCGGTTCCGATTTGGATATAGCTCCCATATATATCTTTATCCGATTTCAAATTAATTGTGCAGCAAATGGGCAATAAAAGTACGAATTTAAAGATACAAATGCTTCGGCATAATTAGTCCTCCGAACTATAAATTATAATTATAATCATAGCGTGTATGATTAAATTCTCCCATAAAAACTTTTAATTGTTATTTGGAGCTCTACTAAATCAGCAAAGTGGTGTAGGGTATCATAAAGTCGACCCGCCCGACTGTAGGACTTTCTCTACTGGTTATTACTGTAGATATCTCTCACCTAGAGATCAGACGCGCATATGGAATTTTTCCGCCCAGACACCTTCTGGTACCGCTCCTATAAAAAATTATTATTTTTGATTTATAACTATTCGCATGTTCGATTTTCTTTACATTTTGTATCTTCCAATATTTTTATCAGTATTCGATAAAGTGGAATACTTCTGTCCTCAATATCTGGTGTCTCACGTACATTTTAGCATTTTTCCAATATGATCATATAAAGTGAATAAAGTAGTCGACAAGGTCCAAAATAGTCACCTTGTAATATTTATATCAGAATTATATTAAATGGGCAATATTGGCCAATTCCTTCGGAAGCTTTACCCATACAGTTCCAACATTTTGAATTATCATAATGGACAATACCTGAGGGAGGGTATATATGTGAAGGCCAAACCGACTGATATTTGTTTTTTTTTTTTAATTTTTTATATCGAAATCGTTGTTTCGAACTTCTGATAAAAATTTATGTTTTTCTCATTTGCCAACCGAGGAACATAACTCCAATTATACACTAGAAATTACCTACCTTTTTTGTTTATCTCCTTATCTCCGTTTCGAAAACAATTTTGATTTGGGAAAACTTTGCTGCAAGTTTTCAATAGCCTCTTTGCACTTTGATAATTAGTTTTTCACTTAAATGGTTTACATTTAATGAAATTCTGAAAATAAAAGAAATAGGAAAAAAATATTATTGTTATTGTTTTTTAATTGGCATATAGAATTTATTTTTTTTATTGGAAATGTTTATTTTATTTTTTTTTGCATTGAAGAATCACTACAGGGGGGTTCAACTCATTTCACTCATTTTCCTCAATTAGTTGCCATCGATTTACTTGCAATAAAATTTGAATTGCTCGAATAATTTGATTGGTAGTTTTGAATATTAAAATTCATAGACAAAGAATGAAAGAATGTTAAATTATTTATGCAACATTGTTTGTAATGTATGTATGTATAAATAAAAAACAAATGTACATGTGTACTATTGGTAAATATCAATAAAAATTTCCATATAATTTATTTATTTATTTTGTTTTGGATTGGAATTTTTATTGTTTTTTTTTCTGGAAATGCAAATAAATTAAAGCGAATTTCAAAAAAAGAGACAATGAATTAAAATAATAGAATTTTTATACCCTGCAACACTATCTGTTGACTGAATGTAGAGATGGGAAAGGAAACGCCCCTTCACTGCAAAAACTGCAACAAAGTCAAACGCCATAATTTTTACATTTTTGAATTGAATGAAAGCAAAAAATTCCGGAAATGGCATAAAATTTTAGTATAAATATAGATTTGTTCGAATTGATCACCTTTACCTCGAATTAAGACCTTCAAACGGCCAATGAAACTGTCATATGCTACCCGAAGGTTGATCTGCGGTATTTTAGCCCATTCCCGGAGCAGCGGTTGCTTGAGGTGATCCATACTTCGGTATTTTTTAGTGCCGACCTTGCTTTCCAAAATACTCCAGACACAATAGTCCAACGGATTGGTATCCGGAGATTTTGGTGGCCATTGTGTGCTGGAAATTAGGAATTTTGGTATTGAAAATGGACCATGCCGGTCGACGCCTTCGTATAGCCTTCATATAATAGTACGTCCCTTTTTGAAGTTCGTAATGGGTACCACAGCCTGTGACAGAAAATTGTCTGTCCAGGTCCACGTCTTCGTATAGCCCCCCATTTAACGGTACCTCCCGATATTCGTTATTTTGATGATTTTATGGACATTTTTTCACCAGAATTGTTTAAAATTTGGTATTTGAAGTTCGTAATGGATACTACAGCCTATGACAGAAAATTGTCTGTACAGGCTCACGTCTTCGTATAGCCCCCATATAACTGTACCTCCCGATATTCGGTACTTTGTTGATTTTATCGACATTATTCACCGGAATTGTATCAAATTTGGTATTTGAAGTTCGAAATGGATACTACAGCCTATGACAGAAAATTGCCTGTGCAGGTCCCGATATTCGATATTTAGATGATTTTAGCGACATTATTTACCAGAATTGTTTCAAATTTGGTATTTGAAGTTCGTAATGGCTGCTACAGCCTAGGACGGTAAATTGTCTGTGCAGGTCCACCTTTTCGCGTAGCCCTTATATAACGGTACCTCCAGATAATCGGTATTTTGATAATATCAGCGACATTATTCACCGGAATTGTTTCAAATTTGGTATTTGAAGTTCGTAATGGATACTACAGCCTATGACAGAAAATTGTCTGTGCAGGTTAACGTCTTCGTATAGCCCCCATTTAACGTTACCGGTAGACGATTTATTTCCTTCATTATCGGACAGAATGCAGAAAATTGGAAAATTTTTTGTATAGAATCCTAATGACGGATATTATGAAGATTTTGGACACCTTTTTATACCCTCCACCATAAATAGTATGGAGGATATATTAAGTTCGTCATTCCGTTTGTAACTCATCGAAATAATAATTTTAGACCAAACAAAATATATATATTCTTGTTCAGCATAAAAGACGATTGTAAGACGTTCTAGCAGTCCGTCTGTCCGTCTGTTGCATTCACGTTACAGTCAAAACGAATAAAGACAGGAAACTAAAAATTTGCAGTGATTTGTCTTTTATCTGCAGGCAGGCCAGTTCGAAGATGGGCTATATCGGTCCTCGATATCGTATAGCCCTTATATAACTGTACGCCGATATTCGGTGTTTTGATGATTTTATCCACATTTTTCAAGAAGTGACTACTTTAATCCCTGAAAAATAATTCTCTCTATAGGTCCACGATATCGTTTATTCCCCATATAACGGTACCCCCGATATTCGGCATTTTGATCATTTTAGCCACATCTTTTAATGAAATTGTCTGATATTCTATAGAAGGAGTTCCTCGTGACTACTTTATGCCCTGAAAAGGACTTGTCCATATAGATCACGATATAGTATCTCCCATATATAAGTGTACCTCCCGATATTCGGTATTTTGATGATTTTATGACAAAAGTTGCCTATGCAGGTCCACGTCGTCGTATAGACCCTAATATAACGGCTATATTCGGTATTTTTCAGATTTTAACAGTTTTTTTAATGGATTTTATTTTTTGGTATTATTCAAAGTTCGGCAAGGCCCTTATTGCTTTTTTACTTGTTTCAAATACAAAATTTTACTCCCAGCAGATAACTATCCTGGGAGTAGAGAATATTTCTCGTTTTGTTATGGCCGCCATATAACGCTTCTACTCACTTTATTTCGCACTGGTATTAGCAGATTATAGTGGAACTCGTTCGAATCCAGACACATGTATTGAAAAATATTTTATTTTACCTAAATTATTATTTTTTTCTAAACCTTTTTTAATGAACCTTCCAGATTGTCGAATGCCATTGGGAATATAATCCTTTCACCGATGCTCTTTGGACCAAAGTCTAAAAATTGTATGCGACGTTTCCATAAGTACATGTCAAATTTTATATAAATCTTCAAAAAGTTACTTCACCCTTTGTGTCAGCACCCTGCTGGCTACGACCTTGCTTGCCTGCCAACATCATAGTTTCTTAACAATTTATTTAAACTTTTTTATTATTATCGTCATCATTTTTTTCTTTATTTGTTACAAACAACAATAACAACAACAAAGTAAATCTGAATATTTTGACTTTTATTTAAATTTTGTTTGTTTGTTTGTGTTACGTTGTTACGTTACGAAGTCGAAGCCGGGTAACAAAAACAGATCTAATTAAAAATATTTCTCATTTACACAAACACAAGTAGTTCTTATCTTGGGTAAACTTTGCTCCAATGGAAAATGGCAAAAGTCAAACCCCACCAAAAATTAAGAAGAAGAAGAAACACCCATTGTTTTCTCTTGGAAAACAAAACGACTGACACTGAGTGAACGACGCGCCAGAGCAATGAATGTGAAATACTTAACGAGAACTTTGGTTATTGTTGTTCACACAACCCTTTTGTCTCCTGCGGAAGAACAAAAAAAAATGGGTTCAGTTACATACCATAATCGTTTAGATATTTATGAGGAAAAAAGCTGTAAGTTTGGCCGGGCCGATATTTGAATACCCTCCATCATTTGGAACAAATTTGGCAATTTTAAAAGAAATAAAAACCAGGAGGTACCGTTATATGGAGGCTATACAAAGACGTGGACCTGCATATAAAATTTTCTGTCATAGGCTATAGTATCCATTTCGAACTTCAAATACTAAATTTAAAAGAATTTCGGTGAATAATGTCGCTAAAAGTATTAAAATACCGAATATCGGGAGGAACAGTTATATGTGGGCTATACGAAGACTTGATCCTGCACAAGCAATTTTCTGTCATAGCCTGTAGCATCCTTTACGAACTTCAAATACCAAATTTGAAAGAATTCTGGTTAATAATGTCGCTAAAATCAACAAAGTACCGAATATCGGGATGTACACTTATAACGGGGGCTATACGAAGACGTGGACTTACATGGCCCATTTTCTGTCATAGGCTGTAGTATCCACTACGAACTTCAAATACCAAATTTGTAACAATTCCGGTGAAAAATGACGCAAAAATCATCAAAACACCGAATATCGGGTGGTACACTTATATGGGGGCTACACGAAGACATGGACCAGCACAGAAAATTTTCTCTTTTAGGCTGTAGCATCCATTTCGAACTTCAAATACCAAATTTGAAAGAATTCCGGTGAATAATGTCGCTAAAATCAACAAAGTGCCGAATAAAGGGAGGAACAGTTATATGAGCGCTATACGAAGACGTGGACCTGCACAGACAATTTTCTCTCACATGCTGTGGTATTCAATACGAACTTGAAATGCCAAATTTGAAACAATTCCGAAGAATATTGCTGCTAAAATCATCGTAATACCGAATATCGGAAGATACCATTATATGGGGGCTATACCAGAACGTGGACCTACATGGCCCATTTTCAATACCAAAAATCCTACAGACATAATACACATTTGATTGAAATTTTATCAATCTACTTCAATTCGTTCGGAAGCTAGAGTGATTTCCACAGATGGACAGACGGACGGACATCGCTAAATCGACATAGAATTTTATGCCGATCATGTATATATATAATTTGTGGGGTCTGAAATGTATATTTCGAGGTGTTACAAACGGAATGACAAACTTAATATGCCCTCCACACTATGGTGGAGGGTATTAAAAAAACTGGGTTCAGTTACACACCATAATCGTTTAGATATTTATGAGGAACTTCTTGGAAGAAGAAAAACACACACATCTTTATATTCAGTTCAAACACATATTTACATAACTATGTATGTGTGTGCGTGATGAAAAAGTAACTTTGTGAAAAGTATTCAAATGCAAGATATGCATCTTCTCTCTGTGCAAAGTTTCTCCTATTTTTTGCGGTTCGTTTCTTTTCGGGGGGTTTAAAGTTGCATCTTTCATTGTTGTTGTTGGGTTCCCCGTATTTTGTATGTGGGGGGAGGGGGTTAGATTCATAAGTTGATATTCCGACATTAGCCACAAAATTAAATGCCATAGTTATGTTCTGTGGTAATTTAAATTGCCAACTATTGAAAAAGTTTTATGGCCGGAGGATGGGTTGGATTGGAGGTGATTGACAAGGATATCATCACATCCGTAAACAAGGCAATAAGGAAGCGAAGGATTTACTTTTGAAGT